CAATAAAAAATCCACAGGTATTTTGTAGATTATTTAAATTCAAATCAGTGACGTTCCATTTTGATTTTTTCTTTTAATTTAAGTTTTCGTGAAATTTTAATGTAAATATATATATAATGGGCAACAAAAATGGTATGTACAAAGTTTATTTATTATTAGGTTCAAGGTTCAGGTTCCGATCATAAAAATAAAAATATCGGTTCGGTTTGAACCTCTTAATTTTTGTATTATGTTTAAAATTCGAATTATGTATAGGGAGGAATATTTTTATTTATTCATCATTAAAATAAAACCACAACACAACCTTCATTTTTATTAATTGAAAAAATAATATTTAAATTATATATTAACATATAAATGTCAATAATTAATTTATTTACATAAAATTTTTTTATTAGGCTGCGCAATTAATATAACACTAACTTGGGTAGCCAGCACTACCAGTATGATATCAATTAATTTACATTATTCTAGGCATCGATTACTCTGATTTCTCTATAGTCTAAAATATTCATAAATTTGTTTATCCTAAATTCTTTAGAAAAATTTACTAAAATATTTTTAATATTTTCCGATTCTTATAACAAATTTTGTTTGTTACCATCTTCTATTTTAAAAAAAAATACTTTCTACTAAATTCCCTTTAGATGAATACAATAATCGGGTTTGATTCACTCTTTCACTAGAATCTTCCAATCTTATAACAAAATTTAATTCCATGTTATGCCATATTATGCTCTTTAGCCTTTTTCTTCTTCAATCAGAAACACTTGATATTTATTATATAATGAAAATATAGAAAAATATATAAAGTAAAATAAAATTATTAATTAAGGTATAAATTAAATTTTTAATTATATAATATATAATATATAATATAATATTTTTAAAACACCTTAAATCTATATATAGGCATGACAAAAGGCATTGTTGTTTAAAATTTGTTTATCTCTATAGTATCTATTTTTGAACCTTAAAGTAAAAATATAAATTATAATTTAGCTTTTATACAAATGCCATAAAAATCCCTTAAAGTTAGCTGCTATAGTTAAAGGTTCCTGGTAGCTACTTTAATTGGTTTTTAGGATATTTATCAACCCTATAATTGCTTCCCATTTCAAAGCTATAAAATAAAGTTCACTGAATGATACTGATAATTTCTCACACATTTAATTTCAATCTCTTTCGTGTCATAGGTTGATAACCATCTCTGACAATCCAATATAGGCCGTTTAAGTTAAATTTTTTTAGTAAGATTGATATAGATTTTGTTTTGCAGACAGTAAGAGCTTTATTAATAATGTTAGAAACTGAGCAATTTTTTAATGCATGATATACCCAAAGTTCTAAGGTATGAGAAGCTTTATAAAAATATTATGAGAATCATTAAGATTGATTGTTAATTCATTACATTTGTTAAACTAGTAGAAACATCATTCACATTAGCAATATTTTATATTTGTCCTTCTTTATCATTTTCAGACATTTGATTGTCTTCATCACCATCCTCCATAAATAATTTTACCATCTTAATAAGATTTGCCCCATTAGTAGTTGCTATAGCGTATATTTGTGATGTTTTGATTTCATGATCATTTAACTTTTATTAAAAGGAGTTTCAAATATTTTGCAGTTGGCTGTTCAAAAATTATTCATTGCTAGTTTTCTACTGAAGAATAATCCCAATAACGCACCTGTCTTAGTAACAGAGTATTTTAGAGATAATAACTTATCATTTATTTCATTGATTATATTTTACCGAATATTTAAAGCTAATTATGCAACATGAGATTCAATATTTTGAGAAAATTTTAATAGTACCCTTGTCTAATAATATAGGATCAAGATTTTTTTAAAAACCGCTATCATCTAATTTTATTGGTCTGCCATTAAAAGTGACTAACTCAGTACAAGCATCGATTATTAATTATTTTGATTTAGTTTTACTGATATTGTTTGCACTTTTAATGCTATATCTATCGTCTGTTGGCTTTATGACATCTTAAACATTTTTATTTTATTAGACTTTTGTTGTGATATTTTAATAATTTTATCAAATTTTAGAGGGTGGTTTTCTTTTAGATGCTTAAGTTTTATGATGGCCTTTCATATATATTTGACAATCAGTAATATTACATTTTGACGTGTCATTTATAATACTATATATAAATAATTTATATATTGGATTTAATTTTTCTCTAGGCATTATAATTTATAAAAAATATTCAAAAATGACAATATACTAAAGTTTATAAAAATTATAATTGACATTTATCAATCAAATGTGATTGATAATAATATTCAAAACAATTCAAATATAATTAAATTGCAATATACTACACATTATTTAACTACATAAAATCATGAGACTCGAACCAGAGAGGAATTTTAGCTGGTTCAGGTTCGGCTAGAATTTTTTAGCGGTTACGATTCAGTTTAGGTTTTATAAAAATACCAGTTTTTAGTGGTTTACCGGTTCGGTTCAGGAATAGTTCGGATCTCTGTTTACACCACATCGATTTATCCTAAATATTTAGTATGCATTATGATATTTAACAGAAACTAACTCTAAAAAAGTTGTCTATTTTATAATTGCTAGAATTCAGCCAATGTTTTGGTTGATAATCCATAATACTTATTATAATTAAAGTTTTATTATCTTTATATTAAGATTTTTTGTCGATATTAATGAAAAGAAAATTATAATAAGCCCACTATTTATTTTTGAGAATTTTGGTAGGGCGCTACTTTTGTGGCAAATAACGATACTGTTATCGAGTCATTTTAAATTTAGGGGTTATCAACAGTAATTAATTTATTTAATATTGAAAATTTTTTACCTTTTAACTTTTTGTTCATATATTTTTCGATTTCTAAAAAAGGAAAAATGATAATATTAATAGAATAAAATAGAATATAAAGATTATATTCATTTAAATAAAAAGAAAAAAGTTAATATCCATGATTTTAAAAACTAAATAATATGCTATATCAAAACAAGGATGATTATTAATATGAATTTCGATATAAATTAAAAAAATTATATCTAAAATTTTTTAATGTCGAAATCATATTTTAAGAAGTCATTAAATTAGAAAAAAATAAAAGTCAGGGTTAATATCTAAATAGGCGAGTGAATGATTGCAGCTATTAGATTGTATATATCTTTCAGGTGATATAGAAAAATTCCTAGTGTTAGGAGTTAAAATATTTTAGGTATATCAAGACGTGATATTTTATCTCTTATAAAAAGCAGAGTTTATTATTATACTATAAACTTTGTTTTAAATGTTTTAAAACATTATTTTCTTTATAGTTTATATCTAAAATGACTTCATTAAAAATAGATATTCAACAATTAATTCAAAACATTATTTGGTCACTTAAAATATTTTTTTATTTATATGTATTTAATTTAAAATAATATAATTTTATTATAAGAATAAATCAAATATTAAAAAAAACTTAATACGTAATATTTTGATTATTTAATTTTTCTAAATTATAAAAATAAATTTTCAAAGAAACATTTAAAACTGGTTCATAGAGCCAATGAACATATAACATCCACTAGTACACTTTGTAGATTCTTTGAATTTTAAATTTGGTTTTCTTATTAAATTAAGTTTTCATGAGATTTTAATATAAATATATTTACATGGATAACAAAAGGGCGTGGCATTAGATGTTTTTATTGATAAACATTTAAATAAATTAATGGTCAATTGGTATTTTATATCAATAGAAGCACGGCACGGCCCATTAAAAAAAATCGTAGAATATTATTACATTATTGTTGAAAATAAAATATCTGGTAAGTGTGACCATAAAAACTAACAAATTTTTATGACCTAGAAATTTATCCCAAGTCGGAATATTTCTAATTTATATTAATCTATTATGTGATTGTAAGGCAGCTGTTAGGAAGATGATGCGTCTTTTAACAAAAAACCAGGAAGACAAGTAGAATGTTGGTTAGAATCTCAAAAGATGATGACACCAAAGCATTTATTTACACAGCATTTTTTTAATCCTATTTAGTACACATTATGATATTTTAACAGAAATTGACTCTAAGTACCAATGTCCCATTTATAATTGTGCTAGGTAGTGTTGCTAAACGCCTCTTTTGAGCCGATTTTTAAAAACGGCTAACTCATTATTTCAGCCAAAAAATATTTCTTAAGCCTCGAGATTTCGCTAATGATGTCCAAACCTTTGTTCCTTCTACAAACAAAATCTTCAGGCTTGCGTAATGGTATATTCTGGATAAAATATTGAGTTAGCCGTTTTTAATTCGGCTCAAAACGAGCCATTTTACAACACTAGTGCTAGGGTTCAGCCAATGTCTTGGTTGGTATTCCATCATTTATTATTATAATTAAAGTTATATTATCTTGGTAATAAAGATTTTTTTTGTAGGTAAGATATTAATGACAAGAAAACTTTTTTTAAAATAATTTAATCTAATAAATTCTTTTTGTTAATCAATTAAATATATTATTTTCTAAATAATAAATTCGATATTTAATAAATTAAACAAAAAAAAATTTTATATTTATTAATATTCTGTAAATATTTTTTTTAGTCAAACAAAACTTTTTAAAAATGGAAGCTAATAGATGTACTATTTGTTTTTATTTTAGGTAGGAGGCTACATTTATCGAAAATAACTATAGTTAACGTGTTTTAAAAGTAGGGGTTTAGCATTACTAGTTATTTGCCTATATTAAAAAAAATTTTTACCCTTTGTTTCATTTTTCATATAGTCTGTGATATCTAAAATATAGATTGATAATATTAATAAAAATATAAAGATTATATTCATTTAAATAAAAGGAAAATAGTCACATCTATGATTCAAAAGCGAATGAATTTAAAAAAATATTAATATGAATTTTGATAAAAATAAAAAGAAATTATATCTAAAATATTTTTTATGTCGAAATTATATTTTTAATAAGAAGTTATTAAATAAGAAAAAAAATGAAAATCATGGTTAAAATCTTAATAAGCGGTTGATTGCCGCTATTTGATTCGATTAATCTTTCAGGTGATATAGATAATATTCCTATGGGGTTTTAAAGAATTGAAATACTTCGAGGAGAGGGGTAAATCAAGACGTGATAATATTTTTTAAAAAAAATTTCTTATGAAATGCAGATCAGTTTATTATTTTATTCGAAAACTATATTTTCTTGATAATTTTTATCTAAATTGACTTTAAAAACTAAAAAAAAATAGATATTGAACAATTAATCTGGGACATTATATGGTCATTTAAAATAATAATTTTTTATTTATATATAATTAGACATGTGCACCGCCGCCAAAAAATGTCGGCGCTAAAAATTCGGCGGCGTGATAATATTTTTTATTATTAAAAATAATATTTATTTTATATATTATTTATGAATTGTAACTAGAAGAAAAATAATATTAAATATTTTTTGAATTATTAAATGTGATTTTATTTTTTAAAATTAATAAATATTATTTGGTATAAATTTGATTTGTAATAATCCATATGATACACGTTAGCTCACTTTGGGCAGGTCTGTGACCAACATGCTAGATAAGATAAGATTAGGATAGTAAAACAGAAAAGGTATTGATATTATTATATATTTTAATCTTAATTTTTATTTTAACTGTTAAAATATTTAATTATTTTATAATATATTTAAATAAACTGATGTCATCCCACATTTAGAATTTTTTATGGCATAATATTTTTATTATTAACTTAATATGTAGAAATATGGCATTATTTCAGATACAAAAGATTTATCAGATAAAACAACACTTAGCCGGAGTGGATTAGATGATGTGGATTTATCAATGAAAGCATACATATGTCAACAAATTAATATAGGTCCTAAATTTTGTGCTATAACTTTTGATGTGGACCGACAAATATACACGGCAAAAATATATTACCTTTTCATTTCACGAAATATATAATAATTTAATATTGTATTTTATACATTGGCGACCTCAAAAACATACCGCTGAAACTATTCTTTCCGAGATAGAAAAAGTTGAAAATGAAATTGATTTAGGGACCAAGAAAATTTCAAATGATAATGGATGCATGACCCAATGTAAAGAAAAGTGTTCGTCTAGGAGAATATGACTCTCATTTATGTTTGGGGCATGGATTACATAATCTAGTGACAGTTGATGGAATAAAAATAAGTTAATATAATAGAAAATCTCATTAAAAAGTGGGGGAAATTATATTTGCCTTGATTTAACACAACGGGTTTTGAAAATACAAACGATATCGAAAATAGAAAATATTTTGAATCGATATCATTTACATCGGATATTTTAGATGGATAATAATGATTTTTTTTATGAAGATCGTTTGGGGTTTGATGATGATAGTGAATATCAAAAATCATATGAGAAAAAACCTTAAAATTAAATGTGCCTACATGTTGACATAGTATTTTAATAATGCTTGAAAGTGTGACTGGCAATAATAAAAATTCTATAAATATTCTATTAAACAGAATGGAGAAACTGGTTCAAATTATTTAACTCCGATTGGGACTTGGTGCATGAACTTTTAAATTTTCTTAGAACCTTCAAAAAAACTGTTGAATTTTTATACGTCCATAAATTACTAAAAATTTATCCTTATTATTTCGTAGCGAAATTAAATATCATTTAAATGTAAAAGAATATGATAATCCTCACATGCATCCCTTAAACAAAATATGCTTACTAAATTTGATCATAGATTTCCAATAACCGATAGTATTTTAAAATACATAAATTATTTTTTTATATTATTTTTCTTTGTCCTATTTTTTTTACTTAGGTGCTAGGAGCACTTTTGGATCCTCATTTTCAATCTGTAAACATAGTAAATGAATATTTAAAGGAAAAAAATATTACTCCGGTGCAATTTCTATGTCAACTCGCTACTTCTCTATGGCCTTACACGGACGAAACTGAATGTGAAACGACGGAACTTGCTTCAAAATTCGATTATCTTACATTGGCTAAAAAACATTCATCTATTCATAACAATAATCTGAAACAACAAGACTATTTAACTAGTTTAGAAAAATGTCATTCAGTATTTTCGCCTTATAATTTAGAGATAAAAGATTTCATAGATTTTTGGAAAATAAGAGTATTGGATTTTCCTAAACTTTCAATATTAGCTAGAAAGGTCCTGTGCGTTCCAACTACGAGCACACCCAGTGAGAGTGTATTTTCCATAACTGGGCTCACTCTGAACTCTAAAAGATCATTATTATGTCCTATAAATCTAAATATTATATATGACAATTTTAACTTAATAAAATCAATAAATTATAGTTATAAACATAATAAAGCATGAATTTAATTTAATATGTTTCTAATTTATAAAAAATTTGAGTTAATAAAAAAAATTTATCGCCGCCGCGCCTTGCCGATTTTTGTGGTGGCGTCTAAATCGATTCGCCACCGCCATTTAATAAAAAGAAGCGTCGCCACCGATAATGCTGTCGGCGCACATGTCTATATATAATTAATAACAAACAATATTATGAAAATTAAAACGTAATATTTGATTAATATATTTTTCTAATTATGTGTAGCTGTCCGGTTAGTTGCTGCGACTTTTAAAATAAACCGAATGCACAAAATATTTATAATACAGAATATTGGCTAAATATTTAGAGAATCTTCAAAGAAGATGAGACCCCCCAAAAAAGCATTTATTTTACACCTTATCGATTTATCCCAGTGAGATATTTCCCACTATATCTTTTAATTGCTAGAGTTTAGCCAATGTCTTGGTTGACAATCCAATTATTATTATCATAATTAAAGTTTTATGATCTTGGTACAAAGATTTTCTTTATCTCGGCATATATTAAAATTATTTTGTATACTTTAATTTTATAAATTCTGTATACAGTCAAGAAATATATTATTTTTTAAATAATAAAGTTCAATTTTTAAATTAAGCAAAAAATAATAAAGCTCTGTTTATTTTTTTAATAATTTCGGTAGGGCGGTACTTTTGGGGCAAATAATGATAGTGTTAGCGTGCCATTTTTAAGAGTAGCGGTTAGAAACTCTAGTTATTTGCCTATATTTAAAATATTTTACTTTGTAATCCTTCGTTCAAATGGTTTGCCATTTCTTAAAGGAATATCGATAATATTAATATAATATAAAAATTATATTCATTTAAATAAAAAAAAAAGTTAAGGCATTCATATTCAAAACCGAATAAATTTTTTAAATATGCCATTTCTCAAGTCATGATAGATAATTCATATGATATGATATGATAGAAATAGAAATAAAAATATTCTCTTAATTTTTTTAAGTCAAAAATATTTTTAAATTAAGAATGTTAGGGTCAGTATCTAAATAACCAGGGGATGGAATAGAGTTATATGATCCTTATATATCTTTTGATTGATATGGAATGGTGTTAGGAAAAAGGAATCAAGGCGAGATATTATTTTTGAAAAAAATCCCATATGAAAAAGCTGATCAATTTATTTTAATACTTGATAATTTAAAAAAATTATTTTCTTGTACGCTTTTATCGAAAATTATTAAAATTTAAATAGATATTCAACACTATAAATACATGCCGATTTTTAAAATAATCGTATTTTTATGAAAATATTGATTGGTTAATGAAAGTAACTAATAACTTAAAAAAGAACTATTAATTAATTTAAAATTTTGTTTTAATGTGTTGAACAAACTATAACTAAATTTTTTTCAATACTCAAGATGTGTGAATAAAAAAATATAAACAAAAAATTTTAAAGAGTAAAGAGTTATTTTATATTATGCTTTTTTCTAGTGTTGTTAAATTACCTAACTATGACCATCTCAATTGTGGCTTTGTCTTGCTTTTAGCCTAAAAAATTGAAGCCACTAAGTTGAGTCTCATCTTGAAGATTAATTGAATAATTTTGGTTAAAAACATAGCTACGCTGTTTTTATAGTTGACTAAAGTTAGGGAGTTTAACAACACTACTTTTTTCTATTCTTATTTTAGGTTTAAAAACATTTAAATTATCATGTTTCTCTTAAATAACGAAAATAAACTTCTCTTAATCAATTAAAGAAATAAAATGATAGCAAATTTTGATTAAAATAATGTGTTACCCATAAATGCTGAATCAATATCAAATGACGTTCCGTATTCTATTTAGTAAATAATAAATAGATTATACTTAGAGAGAGAGAGAGAGGCAGAGAGATAGAAATAAAAAGAAATAAATATTTATAAGTGATCATATTATTTTTTAAATTCGACGAAATGTGTATTAAAAGTGTGATAGGCAAAGAAATAAAATCCTTATATTATAGAATTATATAAATGAAACCTCCATCAATTATTTAAAAAATATATAGATTTATATATAATTTCTTAGAATGTCTATATTTAATCATATGTTTTACAGGTTTTTAAATTCAGAATAAAAATCTTTAAATAATTAATTTGATTACCATTCCCTTTTTTTTAAAAAATTCTTTTATTTTTGTCATTTGTGATGTGAGTATGAATCATTAAATCTTTCAAAAAATTTGAGGAATATAATTCTATTTTGAAAAAAAACCTAATAAAGATGCTTATAATTGAAATATATCTTTTCTTATATATGTCATACAAAGTTTTAAATATTTACCTTTGTTATCTAAATAAAATAATAAAATAAAAAATAATATAATCAGACACTTGCAGATGTACCATTTACACGGCCCACCCAAGATTTTTTTTTAAAAATTTTTTTACGACCAGGCCACGGTATAAAAATTTTAGGCCCAACCTGGCCCGAATTTTTTTTAAACCCCACTAGGATTTTTTTTTTTGGCCCGGCTTGGAAATTTTTTAAATTATATTCGACTTGGTAATATACAAAAAATTCACCTATTCGGTATTTTATCATATTTTTCAGCGGGTATTATCATTTAATAAGCAAGCATATTACATATTTTATCTTTTATTATTCTAAACAGATATTTAGTATGTTACAAATTGATAATATAAAAATTTTTTATAAATAATATTTTGAGAATATACTATATTAATTATATTTATAAAAAAAAATAAAACTGATATTTATAAAAATGGAAGTAAATAATATTTTAAGAATATACTGTATTATATATTGCATTAATAAAAATGGAAGTAAATTATATAATCATCATAACCATATTTAATTTACGAATATAATAATTCTTTTGTATAAATTTTTTTTTAATTTTACGACCCTGCACGGCCCGAGTATTAACAAAATTTCAGGCCACCCGGTATATTTTAAAAATTTTAAATACAGCCCTTAGGCCGGGCCTGTAGGTCTTTGAATATAATGGAAATAAATATTTAAATTAATATTTTATTTACCTCCTTGGGATTCGCAGAATATCAGAACAAGCAAGAAGATTGATAAAAATTTATTCATGTAAAAATTAATTTTAAATAATAATTATTTTTTTTAATAAAATAAATCTTAATTTAGGAAGTTTATGGAAATTTTTTTAAATTATTTAATAAAGATTTCGATAAAGCGAGCTATTATTTATAATATCCTTCTCAACTGGATCATTATTTATTTATTTATTATTATTTTTTTATTATTTATTATTTAATATTGTAATAAAATATTTTGTTTTTAGTTAATTTTTCCCAGAAATTCGTTAACGTAAGAGATGGAAATAAAAAAATAATAATAAAAATTCTACGAAATTAAAGAAAATCTTTATGCTTTTATAATATAAATTAAAATTAATAAAAATTCTGCGAATTGAAAAAACAAATATAATATACTTTCATTTTTATGTTTTGTAAATAAAATCAAAATTAATGAATTTAAAAATAAAAAAATGGATGATATTTTTCAAATATTTATTTTTATTGTAATGATTTATAAAGTGAAACCATTCTAAAATGGTAATTTTTTAAATATTTAATTAATTTAAAATAACAAATTTAAAATCTTATTAACAAATAGTCATCTTAGAAATGCTATCTCCACTTTATTTCTTAAAATATGTGTAAAATTTTAAAAAGAAAATTTAAATAAAAATAAAATTAACTATAAATATGTAGCTATATTTTGTATATAATTTATTAGTAATAAAAAAAAAATTTATTTTAAAAAAAGCCCGGACAACACTTCATAACAAATAAAATGAGTTAAAAATTTAATTTAATAAATTAAATTATCAGTGAAAAATTTTTTTTATTTTAATATCATATTTCTCTTTATAATCAGTTTGACCTTATACACACAAAATACAAAATAGTTACTTATAGAAGATTTTTTTAAAAAAGATTTTGGCATTTTTTTAGGTAAAATTCCTAATTTTATTATTAAAAAATCTTCAAAGATCTTTGTTGAAAATTTTTTTGATTTTTTTTCAAACTTTGATTATACAAAATTAGCATTGACAGAATTTTTTTTTTAGGAATTTTATTCTACCCAAAATATTTTTTAAAAAAATTTATTTATATACACTGTATTTCGTTTGTGCTCTGATAATCCTTTTTATAGTAGAAATGAATTCGTTAAATTCTAAAACTAATTTAAATAAAATTTTATATATTCAAGATAGGGATAAATAATTGTTTGCAAAAGATTTGTCAAATTCTATCAAAAGGAATTAAAACTTAGATTTGAGAAAATTACTTAGGATCAAAGTCCATTTCTATCAAAACGAAATTTTCAAATTAAAATAAGGATCATTCATTATAACAATAATTTATAAAATTTATTAAGATAGTTGGGGGAGGGGAGTATTTTTTAAAGTCAATATTAATTTGTATAATTTAAATTATCTTTCAAATTATTAAAATAAATATATATATACGTGTTAAAAATTTAATGAATATTTTATTATTATGTTTGTTTATAAAAATTAATTTTACAAACTTCCTTTTTTTTATTTATTAAATATAAAATAAAAAAATAATATTTATTATTATTATATTTATTAAATGAATAATATTTACAAATGATTGTTATTTTACAATATTTAATAAAGCCTAGTTAAATTTGAATGTTTATAAATAACTAACACCAAATTTATATTCATCATGTGCCGCTTAAATTTTAGCACGCCCTTGTAACGATTATACATATGGATATAATGTGAGAATTGGTTATCAGTTTAAATTGCGATGTACATTAAATTCTATGTAATAAAAAAAAATTAAATAATTTTTAAAATTGCAATAGTTTGTTTAGTTTTTATTATGTCTACTAAATGGTATAAATGTCAAGAATGGTATGAAGGGTTTAAACTCCCATATTGAAACTCTTAAAATATTTAATCATTCATTGTCACGCAAGAAATTGCACGAAGTATTCATCACCAACCGTTGAAGCGTATTTTATTTTGAGTGTATGTTTTTTTTAATATACAAATGATATAAGGTTAGTAAATGTAATCAAATTTGTAGAAATTCTCCTCCTTAATTAGATTTCAATTATGTGTTAAAAGACCAGGCCCAATCAAAACCTAAAAACTATTATGAACAAACTATTCGGCCCATCATTAAAATTTACGCCAAACCCGACTCGTTACATTTTTTTGAAATATTTTTCCGACCCGAGGGCCGGTCTTTCAGGTGAGCCGTGGGTTTTAATGATCTCATTACTATACTATTATTTTTTCTTTTTTTTTTCAATATTTATGTTTTTTATTCCGATGAAATAATAATATTTTTTCTCTTAAAATATATGCCAAATTTTTAAAAAGGAAATCATATTATGCTTGTATTTGCAAATTTTTAGAAATAATTTTTTAAAAAAAGAGAAATTAACTATAATATGTATTGTATATTTTGTATGTACTTTATTTTTAATAAAATTTTATTTACTTAAAAAAATACCCAGACAAACTTCATAACAAAAACATGAGATAAAAATTTAATTTTATTTTTGTAATATTATATCAAGATGCGCAAAATACGAATTTTTAACTTTATTTTCACAATTTATAAAGGAAATATAAAATTTTTGATATATCATATTTCAATTATTATTAATACTATTAAGGTATATCAAAGCATTTTATTTGACCTTCCTAATCTGATCATATTGGAATAGGGCATCTACTTGGTCAGAGTTAGATCTTGATCTAACACTTGATTTTAGTTGGTCTTGAGTTTCTGAAAAGAAAATTATAAATTTTTTTGATGCTTTTATAAAATATCATATTATATAGAAAAATACCAATTCCCACCTCCCTATCTTGATGTCTCTTTATTTGAAATTATCTTATTATTTAACCAAAACCATTAAATATTTTGGATAGGTATCTATAGAATTGGAATTACATTCTAATCTTTGATAAAAATTATTGTTAAATATTAAATTAATATAATATTTCATATAAATAGTTTAAAAAAAAAAATCTTTTAATATCTTATGCACAAAATTATAAAATATTTACCTATAGAAGATTTTTATTTTTAAAAAAATTCGTTTAAGAATAATCTTCAAAAATATTTGCTCAATATTTTGATATTATTTTTTTTTAAACTTTCATTATGAGTCAAAAATTAGCCCGGTCGTAATTTAAAAAAAAAATGTTTATTCCACTCAGATTTTTTTAAAATTTATTTATATACACTATTTCTATTGAATTGATACCTCTTGTAAGTAGTAGAAATACATCTCAGAGATCTCCAGGTCCGGACCTAAGCCGGGTTCGGTCTGGATACAGTATCATTTATTACCAGGGGAGGGCTATTATTTTTATTAAATCAAAATATTTTTAGTTCCGTTGAATACCTTATTTCGAACAGGCCATTTGAGGACAATCCCAATAATTTAGTATTATATGCAAGCTCAGGTAGCTAATGGTCAAAGCCATCCCCACTTTCAATCTTGGCCTCCTCTTGAGTGGAGAACATCTACGTATTTCCATAGCCCTTCGCTTTGGCTGTAATGCCGTGGTTCCATTTGCATCGACTGTGGCCATCCCATCAAATCGAAAGCTTACCATCCTTTGCACTGCAATTTCTCCCAGGGACGACAACCGTGTCAATCTATTAACAACATCCTCCTAGCAGCTCTTAAAAAAGTAAATATTCCATCCACCCTCGAACCAGAGGGCCTCTCAAACAAAAACGCCATACGCCCTGATGTCATATCTCTCATTCCCTGGACTAATGGTCTCCACCTAGCTTGGGACT